AGCTCTGTGTTACGGGGAGGCTCGGATGGGGTTTGTGCTGCTGATGGGGCCAGGGAAAACTGCAGCCATCTGAACACGGGCACACAGTGCTGATACAGATATATATGTGTGATAGCCCTAACCCCACAGAAGCTGGAGGTCCCCAAGTGATCCTCTTGGTTTCTACTCTAGGACCTGTATGAGCTGAGGGCTTTGGGGTGCGCAAAGGGAACAGAACGACAGGGCAGGCAGGAGAAGTTGTTAAAACAAGATGGACATCCCTCTTTATTGCAAATTCCAAAGTAAAAAGATGTACAGTACAAAGGAACTCAAAGATCAGACATTGAACCCCCAGCCCGCTGCTTTACCACCTTCCTCCTCCCTCCCTTCAGCCTCCTTTCTCAATGTAAACCAGAACAGAACCGAGGAGTGGAAGGGAAAGACCAGCACGGGGCCAACGCCAGCGTCATGAAGAGGGTAAGCAAAGGGAGAGGAGCTCTGAGGGGAGATGCTGGGTCCGGAGCACTTTGATAGCAGCATCTTTGTCATCCCCCGCATCCCTTCGTGCTCCCAGCTCTGTGCTGCGTTACAGTCACTGACTGAGCCTCACAACACCCCTGTGAGGTAGGGAAGGAGACACCCGCTTCACAGACGGGGTGTCCGAGCATCCTCTTGCCGCCACAGGCACCCTCGTGCTCACACTCGCCTCCAGAACTACGACATGCAGCGACCTGGCCTGAACTGAGCAGCAAAACTCACATTGGTTGAATAAATTGGGCTCAAACTCGAGAAAGAAACATCATTTCAAGGTGGTCCCTCAGCCATTCAACTTGCAACAACCTCAGGTTAAATCAGAGCTGATGCCTGGAGTTATGCCCTGCTCAGCCCTTTCGGTCCGAAGTGGGAGAAGCTGGATGGGCTGATGCTGCGTTGGGGCGTGCAGGGCCCTCCTGAGCAGCAGGACCCCACACTTGCACCCTGAGCACAGGTAAGGTCCCCGCTGAGCAGCCTTTGTCACTCCATGGGGGATCCCACTGGATGCATGGAGAAAGCAAGAAGCCAACAGGGATGTGATGGTCTCACAGCGACCCGCTGGCAACAGGCTCACTGGTGGCTCTAGATCACAGAATCACAGATCCCTTGGGTTGGAAGGGACCTTAAAGCTCATCCAGTTCCAACCCCCTGCCACAGGCAGGGACACCTTCACTAGAGCAGGTTGCTCCAAGCCCCTCTGTCCAACCCGGCCTTCACCAAGCAAGAGGTAAAGGACTGCAGACCAATGTCCCCTCTTGCCAGAGCAGGTCCGAAGTGGGCAGCAGCAGCAGAACCATCCCTTGTGCACGGACACGTCCCCACCACATCACAATGCCCAAGGGCACTGACAGCATCAGTCCCCATGGACCCAGTACAGGCAGCTCAGAGCAAGGTACCCACAGAGCCCCAACACCAAGGAACACATCAAACTCCCTTCCAACAGCTTCCACTGCATCTTACTCTGCTCTCCTCTGCATGCTCCAGCTAAAACCACCCTAAAACGCCCTTGGAGAGATGGAAGGGGATGAGGATGGAAATAATGGGGACACCAAGACAACCTCCCCTCGTGGAGTGAAAAGGGTAACCTTTATTTTATTGTCTTTTGGCTTATAGTGATGTGATTGTTCATCATGTTGGGTAAGATCATGAGGAGCCACCATGCAACCTCTAATACACTGTATTGAGCTTTCACTGCTTTAACAGGGGTTTGTTTGCAGCAGCAAATTAGACTCCAACTCAAGTGTGGGCTCTATGGAACATCGTGGGTTGAGTTTCCTTTGGTTGGTTCAACACTGGCCTCTCTGCTTTAAAAGAAGAGAATAAAGCGCCTGGAATTGGGATTTGTCACCCTTCCTCTCTGCTCTCACAAGAACATGGTCCCAAATCAACCCAGTTTTGGACACGGGGGAGTCTAAAGAGCTCCTTGGAGGTTTGGCTCCATCTTTTGCATTGGCAACACCCCCTTTGCTTCATTCCCACAACCCTGACGCCAGGATCCAAATCCCACTTTGGAGCAACACAAATGGCCCTTGTGCTCTCGGAGCAAAGCTCAGTCCTTCCTCCCACAGAAGCCACAGAGATGTGGCCCCATTGCTCAGCACTTGATAGAAAACCCACCCTGGGGAGGCCACAGAGGGGTTAAAACCACCCAAAACCCCACCAAAACCTTGCTCTGAGCACAAGGACCAAGCCACAACTCGCTCCCATCCCATCCCAGTGATGCCAACTAATCCAGGTGGCCTCTTGCCTCTCTCCCAGTTTTAATGGTAAAGAAATCCAATCTATATCCAGAGTTTGAAGGGACTTTTTATTGGAAATTAATCGAGTAGCTGAATGCAATGGCCAGCACGAACGCTTCAACGCACCAAGCTTCACCTACGAGTCAATAGCCCAGCTGAAGAACAACGATGAACTTGAGCCAAAACTTGCATAGAAGTGCTCAACTTATTGCACATTGGAACCCAAAAATGGAGAGTTTTGCTGTTGCAAAGATCATTTGCAATAAAGCTTTGTTTAAAAGCTGGTTT